TCTATCTATCTATCTATCTATCTATCTATCTATCTATCTATCTATCTCTGCTATGTTTAATGATGAGTCAAACCTGAACCTTTCAGGAGGGGACGTCAGATGTGGGAGGTAAAACAGACTTTCACACATTTGGTGCCAAAAGATGACGCAGTATGACCAATTTTAAGATATTACCACTGTAAAGTTGTTCTGTTTGATCATCATGAGAACACCCATAACGAATTTTAACCCATAACGTGGTCTCTATTGGGCCAGTAAGTTGCTCTTATGTTAGCCACTTGTTTGTTTCCATACTCCGTGAAGCCACAGGGAGAATCTGCCCCCCTGTCTGTGCATTTTAATGGTTGAAAATAACAGCATTCTGAACAAAGTGAATTAAAAAGAATTTTTTAAAACATTCTTTGAGCAAATGCAGGATTTGCTCAAAAGAAAACACGATGCTAAGATGAAGTTTGGTACTTACTGATCCAGTCCCGAATAATTCTTCTGAAAAGTTAAGGGAAAAACACACTGTTTAGAATTTAAATAAGTGTCTACGCTACACTTAATTTTCTATTTATCCCATGTTGTCCATGCACTTATTCAGGGATAATCTAGGGTAAGTGGTCTAAATGTTCTCTAGTAGTGGATGAACAAACCAGCATGAAGCTGTTGTTGGAGAAACTAACCGCCTCGTCAGTTGGAAACAATTGACTTGCGCAGAAAAATTACAGGTTAGAAAAACAAGCGGGACAGAGCTCGTTTAGCAGAGAAGAGGCAGAATTCTGAACAGAACACCTCTGCAGGTCTTAAGCAGCTATGTGTCATCTACACAGAAATAAAGCGGAGGGAGTCTCACTGTGCTCGTGTGCTCCACAGGGTGAGCTCAATGGACACAAGGGGCTTGTTCCTTCCAACTTTCTAGAAGAAGTGCCTGATGATGTAGAGGTTTTTCTCACTGATTCACCATCTCGGTACCCACAGGACACTCCAGCACGGATAAAGACCAAAAGGGTACATGCTCCTTCGCAGTACTAGCCCTCTATCATCCATCCACTTTTTCTGTCCCTCTCCTTTAGTTTTGTGTCTGTGCGTGTGTGTCCCATTGATCAAAGTACTAAGTACTTCAGAACATTACACTGTAAATAAATAAATAGATGTTTTAAAATCTATGGGGAAAAAAAGAAAATTTAAAAATAATACTTGACAGAGGTACTTTTATTTTTAATGTTTACTACTGTGAAAGGGGGAAGTTCTGCATTGTGTAACACATGAATTTACTGTATTCATAAAGCATTCTCAGCAAGTCAAATTGACGGAAAGATGCTCCTGTGACTTTTTACATGTCATGTCTAAAAAACAAGTACTTTTTTGCACATGCATATTCATCGTTCTAACAGATGCTTTATGAATATATTCTGTGTTTGATCCTAATTCATTTCCGAATAGAGTAAATAGTTTTGTTGTACTGAAAGATGAACTATGTAGTCTGTAGCTTAGCGTGGTGTATAGTCCAGATGCATGAACCCATGAACATTTTATATAAAGATAAGTCTAGCATAGTACAACTTTTGTATCTGCCCTGTTTTGTAAATTGCTTTCTTGTAAAGTACCAAGCAGAGGTCCCTTAGCCTATGTTGCCATCAGAGAATTATTTACTATATGTAAATATGTGATGTTATTTTTGTGTTTAACAATAATGCAATTGTTGAAATATTTATAGTTGTCATCAGATATTTCTTTCCTTGTGTTCTAATTAGCCATTGTCATAGTGCAAACTATTGAAATGCCATCACCATATATATATTTTTTTATTTCTTTTCTTCACCTGCTTGGCAAAACAGAAGAAGAGTGTTCATTTCACACCTTAAAGGCTCTGTTTCCGTCACGTAAGTGAGCAACTGAGGATACCAAGATTACGCTCCCCTCGTCTAATGCAGCTGACATGGGTACCCTTAGTTTCTGGTATGCAGCAAGTATACTTTGTCTGACATTCCTTTAGTGTTACTGTGTCTCTCGGTGTGTTTACCAATCCCCTTTGTTTAACCAAAAGAAAACATAGTGTTTGTTGATAGGGCGTATCAACCCTAGCCAATGCATTAGACAAGAAGTATGGTATCTTCAGTTGTTTCTCTGAGTGTTGTACATGACAATGTCTGTCTCCTGCAATAAGTCTCCAACTGTAACTCATGACACGCTAAAAGGCTATGCTTGCACGTTAACATTTCAGTTTCAAATGAAAACAAACAAACACACAGCTTGAAATGAATAGCACTGCTAACACAGACTGCAATGGCATGCCAGTTATTCAAACTCTAATATACACTAAAACTATTACTAACACATTCCCAATTTGAAACCAAGAGACAGTGGCTTTGTCCTCAAAATACATTCAGCAAAACGTTGGAAAAAGGAGTTTGATTGAAAGGAGAGGCCGTGACCTTTGTGGTCCTCAGGTAGGACTGTTAAAACACATCAAGGTGTCTATTAAATTAATAGAAACTACTGTTGTTGAACACAGTTTTACACAAATACAGGTTTAACTTCTCTCATATACAGAATAGGACCTTACATTGTGAAAGTTGGACTCAGGAGAAAAGAAAAACTGTCCTGTGATCTGACAGTTCACAGTGTCCTCCAAGATAGATAGAACAGGCACCATCCAACTTGCATTAGTGCCCATGGTATTCACTAGTTGTTCCTGAAGGCATCATTGATGCTGAGGTTTAAATAGTAGTGCAGCATCAAGCGCTGCCCTCTAGATGTATGTCTTGTTCAGGGAAACAATGCCAGAATATCTATTCTAAGTATTCCGGCAGAATGCCCATGGTAAGGGAGACTAAAGGTGCTATACTGCCCACAGACCAGGCCTTTTTTTTACTACCACCTTCAGACAAAAAAGCCCCAAAGCAGGTATGAAAGTCTGGGGAAACCTTATTTCATGATATAAACATCACCGGTTAGTTCTTTTGAGAGGAAATGCTAAAGAGGGGTAAAACAAATCTTATTCCAACTGGAATACTTAAATTATGATTTAAGCTTTGATCTGATTTATGGACAGAGATTTGTAAAAATACTGGAAAAGCTATCAAATCCATGCAAAACCCTGAAAGCATACAAAAACCAGCATACTTAGTTATTATTAAGATGTTTTTTTTCTGTGGTTCAAATATGACTCCTCCATGAGTAAAACCTAAAATGCTAACAGGTGTATGAAGGGAATTAGATCATATCTGTGAAATCGCGTTGGTTTATTAGTTAGTGCTCCGTCCTGTGATTCATAATTGACATTTGAAACGAAAACGATCATCTGAAATCTTTCGAAGTGAGTCTATGCAACTTTTATTTAACTTTGATCCACGGCTGCTTCTGACTAATGCTATAGGAAAGTGTGGAATGCTACATTGCACTAAATGCTGTGTTGAGACATTTGCTCTTGTGCTAAAGAGGCAGAAAAATGACTCAGTGAGAAAAGTCTGTAACACAGCAGCACTCAGCGTCCATCAAACACTGGTTTACATGTGCTGTGACAACACATTTATGTGGATCGATGTAAGCTGTGACTAATTTTGTTTCTCTAAAGGATTATTTTTCATCATAATTTGGAGGAAAAAAAAAGTTTGGTTCCCACAAAAAGTCTGACGTTAAAGTCGGTGCCGTTACTGCAGTGCAACTCACACCGATGCACAAGTTTATCATTCACGCTTCCTCTGTTCTATTCTCCGATCCAAAAGTGCAATTCAAAAGCCTTTTAGCTCATGATTACAGAAAAGTAATAGTGACCAGTAGTCTATCTGTAACCCCGCTGTATCAGTAAATATGTGTATTTACCAGACAGGAAAGTGAATGTGATATAAATATGTCCCAAAATGCAAATGTATCTGTTCATGTGGGCGAAACTGCATTGCTGTTGATAGTCTGTTGGGGAAAAAATGTCAACTTACACTGATGTTACAGTCAGTCTATGTCTTTGTGTGTTGTTTTATTATAGGGGCTTATGTTAAAAAAAGGAAGTAAGTGTTCATCTATACCCGAGTGCACAGGTCAACATTCAAGGGGTAGTATTCAGAGCTATGGTGGCCCTGCTGAGAAGGAGAGGACTTAAGACAATGAGGGGAGTAGTGACTGTGCTGTGAGAGACAGGTGGCTTTTTAACAACCTCAACTGTCCCTTACGGGTCTCCCATTAGGTTCCGTTGGATAAAACCGCTCCGCCCAGAAGATCAGCCTCTTCCGCAGCGCGTCCACACATCCCCGGCTCCGGCCCTTCTCCCGCGGGGGCCCCGCTGTCCCGCCGGGGCCCAAATGGACATGTGCTCCTCCAAAAAGAAAAAGGGACTTCTCAACAAAAGGGAAGACACTTTTGCAAATACTTGGCGCTGTAAATGAACCTCCTGACCAACCTAAGGAGTAGTGTTGTCCATTTCCTCGTTTAAAACATTAAACAAGTTTCTAAGTTTGTTTAAAAGTTACACAAAGAAAAAAAGAGTCCAGTGCACAAAGGGCATTTGTGAGCTCAGCAACTGCTGTTTTCCTCTACATCTGCTCTATACTGGAATATTTGTATTCCCTTATTGCTACACATATTTTCAATGACACATTTCATAAGAGTCCCACAACCTCCTGGTGTCGGACGGCGTAGTATTGAGTTACTTACCTCTGGGTCTCTGGCTGGTGGAGTTTTCATGCCACGAACATTCTCCGTTTAGCACCTGGTTAAGTCTTCTTTTTTTTTTTCTAAACTGCATGACTCTGGCTAGAGTCTCTCCATGCTGAAACCAGAATGTCACTCAAATTCAGAGGGCTCAGTTCAAGCTTGGAGTCAACATTAAATCAAATGCGAGATTTCAGATTGTTTTGACCGGAGCTGCTTGGGAACAGCCGGCCACAAACACTGAAAGAGGTCTGCATGCTTCACCTCAGCACATTCCCTCCTGACCCCTCCAGACAGCATGCGGGCTCGCCGGGCTCATGGTGGAACACGGAGCATGCAGTACACTGACACACGGAGCAGGATGATCTCCTCCTCTGTCCCATTTCAGCACCTGTGACCGAGCAGTGTGGTCCCCTCACGAACATGTTGGGCACTTACATAATAAGCACATAGAGTATCTACCACAGGCTCTCTGCGGTAGAGTCGGCCTGAGTGGACGCGCCCGGTAGATCAACCCTCCATGTATTTGCCTTATGATTGCATATTCGTTCGTATTCTGTCCAGTTGGGTGTGCAGTCATGTCTACCATACATGTGTGAATCTGCAAAATATATACAGACGTTATTCCTGTTTTGTGGTGTGCAGGGCGACTCATGTCTCCACAACAAGAATATGTCACACTTCTGTGTTGATGTTGTCCATCATCCACCGTGAAGCTAAAAAAGAAAATGCTTTTAACCATACAGATAAAATTATTTTTGAACATAGGTGACTGAAAAGGTCAAAAGCCCTTTTCATTGTAAATTTTGGGGCTAATATAAAGGCACTCGGTTTAATACTTGACGCCACTGATGCAAATCTAAAAAGACTTCTAATCTCGTCCCGTCATCGCTCTGTTTCAGTCACTGCGCTTGTGTCTCAAAGGTCGTAGGCTTAATGACTCCATAGTAGTAAATGTTGAAACACAAGACTACCTCTATGCTGCCCCCTCTACCTGCTCACCCAAATTGTACGACTGGAAAAAAAGCTTATTACAGGCCAATTTGTCATTGCCTGTGGAGTGTCCCAAATCGTGTTGGTGCAGGATACAAGTACTGTATATCAATATATTTATATATCTACACCTTAATGTAGTGAATGTACAATGAATTGAAAGCCAATGTATTTTCAAGTTGCCCAAAAGGATTTATGCAGATGTCCGGCTTTGTGTGAAATGAAACAGTCCACCCATCTCCTCACACCCTCCTTTTCCATTTCATCCTCAAACACATTGTCAAATCTAGCCTGTTTTCTATACAAATTAAACTGAAACTGCCAAAAAGAAAAGGAAAAAACAGAGGAATGTATGCAAAACATTCGTTCTGTACTACTCTCAGCCAAGCCGCCATGGTTACCTACAGTAAAGATTGACTTCTTTTTCCTGCATCTGACCATGTCCTCACATTGTTTTTATTCATTTTGAGTGACTGCAGCTCTTTTTGTACTTTGTCCATTTGTAAAATTGTTTTTAAATGTTTATACTTGATTTTCAAACTGCCTTTTTTGTACATTTAACTTTATAATCAAACAGTGCAAGCTTTCCCCATGGTGTCTTGAAGACCATATTGTTAAGTCTGCAATTGTGTGCTAGCTTTATGATAAGAATTATCAGCCTATATTGATGGTTACAAATTATTGTGTGGGTGTGCATGTGCAATCTTTTATAAAAAGAAACTAAATCTAAATAAATTTGATATTTTGTAATGTTTGGCTGCCTGATTTAATCTGAAACAGAGACCACACAACATAAAAGTTTTATTACCGGTAACTCACAATAACAGCTAACAAGTCTTCTTAAGCCTTCAACAAAAAGCTTAATTTTTTTTAGGACAACCTAACACACATAGAACGAAGAAACTATCACTTAACACATGGAGGCTCACTTATACTTAACTGATGAAAGGAGGAAGAAAAGAAATAAGATTAAGGCTGAATACCTCTGAACGTTAATCAAAGCGCCACATTATGCAACATTTTAGTTTGGTCTAAATACACTTCCTTCTCAACTTGGCTGTACCAAGTGCACACAGTTTTTAAATTAGCCTCAAACAAGAAAAGAAAGTACGATGGTGCTCAAAAAAAACAGATTAACTAGATATTCTCTGTCACACTGTCAAAATGCAACTTATTTTAAACAGATCACACAACTGAGTAAAAAAGGTTTCAGGACTGAGCTCAGTTTGTTCATCTTTCTGCTCTTACAGATAGAAGAGGTAGTTATCCAGTTGCACACTGGGCTCCCGATGAATGCTCTGCCCCACCAAAAAAGCCAACTTGTGGGCGTACATGCAGGGAGCCGGTACTCTGATGATGCCCTGAAGTACAAAATTGAAAAAATTACACATGCAACTCTAAATTCAAGCATCAGTGTCTTCTTTAACAAAAAACAAACAAAAAAAAGGTTAGATTAGTTGGTGAATTTATCCCAACATCAATATCATTCAAATTTTGGTACGGTTATTTTTGTGTTTGCATCCAAAAGCGTTTACACTACAAATCCAGTATGCTGCTTTCCTTTAAATTAGCATTTGAAAGGAATGGATCAGTTCAGCAGCCAGCTGGAATCTCAGTTATCACCATTCATGACTAAAAAAACAAAAAAAACAGAAGATGGCCAAAACTCAAGCTTGAAATGGTCACTGTAAACATATCTAAAAACACACTTAAGCTGGCACTTTGACTAAAGGTTGAAATTTAAGGTGAAAGGGCGTTTTTCTGAGGCATGCAAACCTAACTAACTTCAGAACTTTTAATTCTCACAATCATGAGTAATCTCAGCTTACCTGCCAGTTGAAGTACAAATGACAGAGTTTGTAGGTGAGCCTCTGCATGTGATCAGGCTTCAGCCCGCTGGTGTCATACACAACATTGTAGTGGGTTGGTGAGACGCTTCCACACCTCACAGCCTGGCTCACAATGTAGAAGTCATACCTAGAAGGTTATAATTAAAAGGTGGAACCGTTTCCTTCCCATTGTAAAACAGAAGAGGAAAAAACAGAACAAACAGCATACCACTCTGGGCGGGTGACCTCCGTGTCAATGATGGTGCCTGGTGGAGGGTTGGTGACCTTTCCTCCAATCATGGCAAAAAACCTGCTGCTGATGCGCTTCTTCACCACCACCACGCTCAGCTTGGGGCTACAACAGGAAGATGAGGAGATTCTTACAAGACCTAGCAATTCTAAAGACTAAGTTCTGCTTTGTGAGCTCCCTGCTCATCATCTGTTGACTCAGTTTTTTTTTTTTTTTAACATTAAAAAGTTGTTGAGCATTGAGAATGGGCACCTTTATGCTAGAAATGTACCAATCACCAGCTACATGATGCTACTTTAGGACTTAGAACGGTTTGACTCACTCGTAGTCCTGCCCAATGGCCTTGATGGAGTCCATGATCTGTGAAACCTCGTAGTTGACCACACTGTGCAGCTGGCCGTCGCCCACACCATCTCTGTACACTATGATTCGTGTTGGCAAACAGTTGTTGAACTTTAGGTAGTCTTTCAGTGCACCTGGAAAACAAGGCCTCCCATCAGCCATCAAGTGTCTCACGAGTCTCAGATGAAAATGTCAGAAACTGAGGAAAGCAACTTGCCAATTAAGGCCATCTTCAATCCATCCATGATTTCCTGGCCTTTGTGCTGCATCACACACTTTGAAAACCATCTGGAAAAGAGAAACTGCAAATTTGACTTTCTGTGGCCATTCCATAATATTGCTTTAAAACTAATTTGTGTATATGTGAAGCATATTTGAATTCAGACTGTAAGAAACGTCATGGAAACAGTCTGTTGTACATCTGCATTTCCAATACTAACCTGCTCATGGTGGGGTTGAGGCTGGCCACTAGAGCACCAATGGACCTCTTCCCAGCTATGGTGTCATGGTAGCAGTCGATGCCCACAACCATCAGCTGTTTGAGCTGCACAGACCAGTCAGAACATTTTACAGTGAAAAGCATTCACTCCTGAAGTGACTAAAGGGAGCTCCTTTGTGTGCACATGTGGGCAAAGAAAACTATGAGATGACCCACTGAAACATTTTACCGTGAAATATGTCGCAGGTAAGAAAAACAAAGACCTTTTTAATGATTCATTATAAAAAGGTACAAAACATACCCTGTACACTAAGCTGGATAGAAGCTGTGTGTTACATTTCGGTAGGAATTAAATGTTTTGAAAACTGTGCTCCTTCCTTTTTTGAATGAAAAAAAACTTACTTGCCCATACTGGCTCTAAAAGCCAATACCACCCTACATAATTTGTTAAAAAAAACATGCAACATCTAAAATTGCCCAACTTACAGGAATTTCCACACTCCACAGCTCTCCTCCCATTTTGCACACCATCTGCATTGCAATCTTGGTTGCGATAGTCATGAGAGCTTGAGGTCGGCTGAGGGTGCGAGACACCACACACTGACTCGGGATGGGACAGTCCACACAAAGGTACTTCTTCACACAGTCGTACTTGTCTTTTCTGTTACTGGGGAGGACAACTACCACCTAATAAGTGGAAAGAAAGAATCTTTGTTATTGTAACATCACTATGGCAAATACAATGTCAAACATGTGACTGCTGACCAGTAAAGGCACCTTTCAAATACTATGCTGCAGTTACCAATACATTTCTTTGAAACTTTACCCAATTAAATACATAATGCACAATTTCAATTTCAAAAGCAGTTTACCGCTAAATTGAAATCTGTAATTTAAAAGCATCCAATCAAAGCATGTCATCAGATGTTTCCATCTACATGCCATTTGTTTTACAGTGCATTTGTAGAGTGCATTTTTTAAAAGCCATTGTGGAATAGTGTCAGTGTTTATCAGACAACTGGGTAAAAGGCCAAATATCTATATATACACAAGTACACAAACCATCTGTGTTTGAGGTCCAACATTATACTGCAGGGCTTTAAGAAGAGCCTCCTGATGGTCATCAAACTCAATCCTGCCAGGAAAACAAAACAGCTGAGTGAGAAAAGTATTTCCGATGAAATTACATTACAAATTTTAAGGTCAATAAATAAATTTGGAACAATAATTGTAGCATTAGGTTAGGATTTGAAATATTCCAATTGACAGGAATTTAAACAATGTATTCAAAGCATTCTGTAAACGCTTCCATTAAACTCAAACAAGAAATGCATCAGATAGCTATGCTGCAGAAACTTCCTTAGCTCTTGTTTCAAATATCAAAAAGAAGAATAACCAATATTTTTGTTTAATGATGAAGACACAATTCACTGAACTTACATGACAGCTCTCTGTATGCGTAGGCCCAGTGGACCAGAGACTTTGCCGAGGGTCTGCAGGAGGGCCTGAGCTTCATTGCCGTTACGACGGGTGTGAAATATGGCCCAGTTATTCAGAGCGGGAGCACTGATCAGAGGTATCCCACGCATCTCTCTGGACCAGTCAGCTGATTGAGGGTTGTACTCAAACTAGGATAAATTGCATACAATTTTCTGATTCACATCATAGTCTATTTTAATCTGTCTAATATAAATTATGCAACCAGAATTGTGTGACAATGGTACCGATCTTGGTCCTTGGAAAATTCTCTCTGCTCCAAGAACTCTCCCAGTCAGATTTAAGAGTTGCTTATCAAAGCTGAGTCCCCACTTGTCCAGCTCTGCCTGGGCTTCAGAGTTCCTATCAAATATTGTGTGATTTTAGTCTAAGGTACTTTCACCACAGAAAAAGATGGGATGAAGAACATTTTAAAGAAACCCTTTGGAGATTAAGATTACAGAAGGAACAAAGAATGTTTATAGGTTAAGGAATGTATGTTAACAAGGAGAATTTAATTGTCCAGTAGACTCGTATATGACCTACCTTTGAATGTTAGTAATAAATCTTTCCAGACGCTTCTCCCTTTGCTCTGGATTAAGTCTGGTGTGCAAGCTCAAATCTTTCATGATGGTGAAGTCTGAACGCATCTTATCTGTCAAACCTGTGAAACAAAAGATTTACAATAAACTTTAAACAGGTCTGGTTGAGTGTGGATGACATCTAAAAAAGACAAACATTTGGACCCAGCTTCTGCTAGAACAGGGATTGCAGTGTCTGAAATCATTGAGCTTCACAGTTCAATCAAGTATTTATAGAAATTTCACTAAACGTCATGCACATGTATATTTGTAACAGCTGAAATAATTGATACAGTAAATTTGACATTTCTTAAATCTTAAAGTTTAAAATGGACAATGGTTGAACCTGTAAGGTAGCATAGTTCTGGGACAAGCATGGCTGGGCCAGGAGGGGGTCCTCCAGCAGGACCCATCTTTTTCACATGGCTGATGAGCAGCACCTGGTTCCCATCATTGATGTCCAAGCCATATTGCTATAAAACAAATGTAGAAAGGTTCATGAGGCCCTTTTGCAATTGGATGTACACCCAGAAAAGTGTCATGTCATATGTTAATGTGTTCATGTGTTAGGCATTGTTTTCAGACAGGAGGGTTTACATTGGCTTTTTGACACTTACAGTCTTGTAGTAGTTCTTGAAGGAAATCTCTGTGTCGCCTTTCTTAAATGTGTTGTTTGGAGTGTGATCCCATGCAATATCATCAATCCTGTAGGTTTTGTTGTTGTACCTGAAATTAAAGACAAATATTTAAATCCTGAAATGTTCTGGCAATGTTCCTTAACATTTGATCAGAGTCTTCCCAGCTGTTAAACACTAAAGCAGGAAGGAATTATAGCAAAATATCAAATTCTCATCAGGTTATTTCTCACAGCCTCCAAGGAGGGTTAAAGTCGGTGGTCAGGGTTAAACCACCCAGGTTACCGAGGGCCACAAACCAAGTATGACAAACTAGTTTAAAATAAATTTCTGTGTGACCTTACTTTGTGAGAACTATGAGTCCAATCAGCTCCTTGGAACAGATCTCAGTGAAGCGTTGGTTTCCACACTGATGCCTCAAGTTAGCCATAAAATCGAGCACTGTCTCACTTCTCAGCACCTTGTGGCTAATGTCAGTGCACATCATGATTGAAGACTCATAATGCAAGATCGTTGTGCTGTAGCCTGGCCAGATAGTCAGCCTTAAGGAAAAAAAAAAGACGAGAAAATTCTAAAGATCGTTATATATTCGCATTTAGTAACTTCCCTCTGAGAAAACGCTAGATTTAGATCAGCAATTCCAAATAAAAACGTGTTATTATTTGGTAGTGTCTTCTTTCATACAACTAAGACTTTTCAGAGAGATTTCATTTTTATGAAAACCAGAATAAAAGCCAGCTGACGTACTTATGTTGTGGAATGTTGAGCGGATCACTGGGGTTGTAGTGGTTGCGCCCAATCTGTTGCATGTTGAGGATTTTCAAGATCCTGAAAAAATTTAAAGAGCACAGATATATGCAAGTTTCCCCTGACCTAAAACACTATGGGGTTAGGGTTCAAGTCATGCATCAAGATACCTATTTTAACTCTTACCTCCTAAATATGATGTTGTAGAACTGAATACACACTGGTGATGTGGGTGGCAGTTCATTTGTCAGAGTGATGGTTATCTGAACCTTCTCTCCATTCCTGGTTTCACTGTGGAGCACTGTCTCCTAACATCAGATTGAACATTTAATTATGACAGAGAAACACAGATTACTCTGATGGAAATACAATTTACTTGGCTGCTCTTGCACTAAAATACGTTTAAAAAAAGTGACCAATCAAAATGCTCCTAATTCATTGCTGTAATTTATTGTAACAGCAGTATCCACACACATGCTGTACCTTGTTATGCAGTCTGTGGGGCAGAAAAAGCTGCGCTCCATCAAAGCATCGTGCTAAACCAAGCACTTCCGAATGGTGGAAAAGGAGGGCAGATCTCAAGCGTCGAGACTCCATTGGAGGTTTGTAGTCGACATGGTACTGATACAGAACCCACTGAGGGCGGGAGAGAATGCGGAAGAAGTTTGCCGACAACCTAATGACAGCACCAGATGTTCCTGGAGAGATGTGCACACAAAATTGAGAATAAATTGATAATCCTCCTTTAGAGAAATAAAATTTATATCGATTAAATGGGTTGGTGCAAAAATGACAGACCACACTTGGAATCCTTGACATGCTCCATGGCCTGTCTGGTGTAAATTCCGGCATCATTAAAATCTCGCCGACGCCCTCCTCTTTCACCCAGTTTCACCTGTTGAAATCCAGCTGAAATCTGTAGAACAACTGGTAGAACCATAATAAGACTGTTAGGAGCACTCAGTTTAAACATTAAACTATAAAATACAAAATACTTTATGCAGAATTTAAATACACTGATGCTTTACAGTCCTGTGACTTTACAATAGACAGTTTTGTTTCAAAGCACTGGCAAATCGCATGACATACCCATTTGCCAAAATAATTAAATGTCAAATGGCCTAAGTAGTGCTGATTGTTAGTTTGGTAAGATTAAAACCCTTCACATCACTGTACCTTCTGAACCATAAGTTCCTGGAGCACCTTTCTGCCGGCCTCTACCAACCAGATCTCCCTCTGATAGAGGGGCCGGTGCTGGCGCGGCCTCATGGGCGTGGCTCTGCAAGATTGAAAAAACAAAAACAAAAGATTTGAGTTACAGAGATAAAGTATTGTGAATGTCCATTCTCTAACGGGTGGGCATCTTCTGGAGCATAAATCAAGCCCATAACAAGTTGAGTACATTTATAGCATGGTTTCTCAAAAGGTGGTACCACCCCCCTGAAAATCTCGACAAGCACGATAATGTAACCATGTCAAACCACACCCAACATTAAAATCAAACATGGCGGATTCATTTTCCCCCTCAGCCATCAGTTGCTTTTCAAAAGCCCAGAGCGTGTTAATTGATGGTGAGCGATTTTTCAGTTTTTATTGGTCGATCATGTGACGTGTGCATGTTGTTCGGTCTCTCTGAATAGATCAGTAAAACTCATTTTCAACTAATTATGCAATAATTATATTTTTTACCTTAGGTTAAATGTGATGTTGTGAATGTAACCATATCATGAATATGAACTACTTCTATTCCTCAAAGCCTGTGTGGCCTTTCTCTGAGTAGAAAAAACTATTTGACTTAAATTCTACTTCACAGCTCTTTCCAAAAAAATCTTCTTTTTTTCTTTGAAGCGGGAGCGGGTTACAAGGATCATAGAATGGTCAGAGGGTGTTTGTTAAAAAAAGGTTGAGAACCACTGATATATAATATAGTTCAACTAAACACTTAATAAACCAGTGCAAATCCCTTGTTTTTTTCCTTACATTTTGGTGTCCACTAGTAACAAACATTAGGACATGATTTCTGATTTGGTTAGGGTTAACAAGTGTACAGAGATGAAAATGCATAAATACTGCCAGTGTATTCAACAAGGCTTTGTTCTGTTCCACTGATGCTGACAGATGCTGTCAAATATGTAAACATAACACATTCAGAGCTCACAAGTCTGCAATGAATGTTAAACTCAAAAATCAAACAAAATTCCTTTCCCCTCACACTGAGAAATTAATTCAAATTGTGCGTTGTAGCATGAAAGGAGGAAAACATAGCCAGTCTAGCCAACTCTGAGATTTATACACCAGCCACTGCCAGATTTCTGCCTGGTGGCAGAAAAACCTTCTGCTGCCTCTGGACTGTTGCTACATGAAAGCTGACTGTCTGTGAGCTGCTCCAGCAGTGTTGTGCGTGCTGAGAAAACATGCCAATTTCACTCTGGAAGCATAGTGCGTGCGGAACAACACCATATTATTTTTGGCTTCCATGTTAATCAATTAATAGCCTCTCAAAAAATAAATTAAATAAATAAACTCTAAAAAATATATTAAACCTTTGTTGGTTAGGCCCATGACCCCATCAGTAATGAAAACATTTTACTCTCATTTCAATGTGTAATTAGTACTTCATAAACTCTGACCTCTTTAGTATGAAAATTACATATTAATTAATAATTGCAACAAACTCATTTCAAGTATTAATTTTGTGTCTATTCTCTCATCATTACTGTGCAAAATTTATGCCTTTGCATTTAGAAAAATAACTATTGAAACCCATGGTATTGGAAATAAAACACTGAAAATCAAATGCATAATTTGCATGTTGTACATGGTGGTCAGGTTTATTAAAAAAATGTATTTAGCATTTAAAACTTAGGGGAAAAAATAAAAAAAAGGAAAGCAATTTTTCTTTTAATTGGTCTTACCGCTCCAGGTGGCACAGTCTCTTGACCACGTGCTCTGCCTCTTGACCGTGCACGTGCCCGGCCAGTCATTTTGTAGGCTAACACTTAACTGCTGGAGTAAAATGACGGACTGTCAATTAAAGAAAAGTTAATATAATGCGCAGCATATTCTCGGTTAGCCAAAAAATTGTTGTTAAGGGCAACACATGCAATAAAAGAAGACCTGAAACATTTTTCTGCTTCAGAAAGAAAGGCCTCGCTAAGTTTGAGGCCCGCCCTTTAACCTGGAGGAAGAACTAGCACATACTAGCCGCTTAATGTGCAGTTCAGAGGAAAAAGACAAGTTTGTAGTTATGATATCAAGTCATCGTTTCAAATGCGCTTTTGGGACACACATTCTCTTCAATAATAACACTTCAATTTAATTTATACTTCTTGTTTAAGAATAAAGACATCAAAATTTACAAAAATAGTTAGCTTGAACAGAACATTTATCGAGACTATCAACATAGGACATGGTACATTCAATAAAAGATACTCACTTACTTAAGGAATATTTGAACTTCTCAAATTTATTTTGTGGCACCTTTTCTGCTATTCGGATTCAATCTGTCGTCTGACCCGATGTGGCATTGGACTATCCACAAAAAAAAATTAATACGCCGATATAATTTTGGTTGACCCTCTCCTAATAATTAAGTAGTTTTCTGTACATGTATCTATTGTCAATCAAAAATGAAAATAATAATAATAGCAATATTAATAGAACACTGTCTACGGAGTTCTGAAGAAAAAAATAACTTTAATGATAATCAGATCTATTTGTTCAAGCGGAGTGATACGTTTGGCCTGGTACTGCTCCTTGGGCTTTCTTCTTCTTCTTTTTTTACTTGACAGACATTTTCCACTGTGTCCACTAGGTGGAAGCAAAGCTTTGGCCTAAATTGCACTCTCATGCAGTCATAACTTCCCTGTACAGACAGAAATAATTGCCTAAATTATGCATAGTCTTATATATAAAACAACGTACACAAATTCTATCAGCCAGAATGCCAGTTTCACAGGGGTAACATTTTTGTCAGGTGCTGATTTAGAGAAACTGTATGCGTAAAAATAATTTACAGGACCATCTTCATCAAAGGGAAGTCATGTTTTGTTAGTTATCATAATTTGTACAAAAAAGATATAGATATACTGAATGTTCAGTAGTTTCTCTCATATTCTCACTATGCCAAGGCTATTTTTAAAGACACATAAACTTACTCTAAAACTGTGAGACATCTTGAAGATTTACCTTAACTCATCACTTTGATTGAAATTTTCGAAGCATGTTAAGAATACTTTCACAAGGTCAACTCATGCCCTTCTTTTAGAAGATGCCAGATCATGAGTTAATATTTCCTGTTAAACTTTTTCTCACTGCTTCACATTCTACTATTTAAAAGAGAATATGGCACCTCAGAGGGCATTTTAGGAGGATGTATGCAAGTCTTTCATGTTTGAGATCTAAGAGTGATTACATATTCAGACCTGAGGGATTAGTTTGAGAGGACCTGCTTAAGTCAGTGTTTACCTGCTGGAAGAAGACAGAAGATAAAGTCAAAGACAAGGACTTCAGTGTCATCAAGCCCAATTGTTTGCAAAAAAGGAAAGTTGCAGCAACCTCTTCTTTAGATGCAAAAATTCACCATGATATATTTCTCCAGTAGCATAACAGTTACAGTTGCAACAGAGAATTAGCCGAAAACAGTATGATTATGTTGTCAAAATACAAAACAATGACCCATTTCTACCAAAGGTGTGGAATAGAAAAAGCTTTAATAAAAAGCAAAAAAATATAAATAAAAAATCTTCAAACACAACACTGCCTACAAAAAAAAGAAAAACAACAATAAAGGCTATTGGAAAAAAAAAGAGAAAAATGAGAGAAAAATGAAAGAAAATGAAGAAAACGAAGCCAGTGTGATGACTTCAAGCTGAGTGGTGTGAGGCTGAGACAGGTGCACCCCGCCAGGGACGCTGATGAATGCGCCTCAGGCTTCAAGCTCGCCCTGCAGCCCCCAGTCGTGTGGATTCCACGCTTACGATAATCATGCTCTGTGAGATCCTACGGCCCAGAGCTGATGAAAGGAAACATGGAACACAGATAGTATATCAAACTGCCAGAACGTTCACAAAATGCACATTTTTCATGAACATGTTTCTATATGGATACATAGCATTTATTTTCAACCTAATTTCCTGGTTCAGTCAGTAAAAACAAAACAAGATCAAAGCTTTCCTTTTACATAATTCACAGTGACTCCATTAAGCTTGAACTCTTGATTGCGGAGCAGGAGGGGATTCTGAATAATAAGGATCTAACATGCCATGATATCAGTAAGCGGGTTAGGAAAATTAGATTATTCTCTTGCCAACCATGGAACCTAATCTGCTCTTCATCAATGTGTTTCCCTTGCCGAAGACACAAGCATTGCATCACATAAACAGCACTTGTGCATATTGGTAGCTTAAAGTTTTCAGAAGTTTTTGGATTTTTTAATGATTGTGTGTTGCTGGCATGTTCACAATCAGAGATTGTCGCAACAGAGAGAAAATGATAATCTTCTAAACAGTTATTCATGTAAATATGTACAGTCCTGCTTTAATAAAGAGGCCGAAATGCAGCTTTATCAACCCCATTTGTCAAGTTTTACAAAACAATAAGAGGTATAATGTTATATGCAATCTCTTACCGTTTAATTGTTTTTATGTTGTTAGTTTCCAGATGATTAATTATTCTATTTTGCATAAGATGAGGGAAAATTATGTCTGAAAACTGCCAAATCAAAATGTTGCATTGTTTAATTTTAGGTTACAGTACATTTGCATTTTGTGTCCAGAGTGAATGTACCTTAACTTCTGTGTGGATCTGTAATTCTGGGAAACAAAAACAAAACGTCTGTCGAAGGACAAATGACACTGCTGTGAATATTAAGGATTTACAAAGTCACTTGAGTGTTCCAAATGATCCCTGATTATTTGAGTTTCCACATTCCTGAACTGTTGGCTTCAGAAATACAAAACTCTTTTCATGGGAATTTTTCAACTCCTTATCAAAACTTCCTGCAATCTTAAACACCAAGGACAAAACCCATACGGCCCTATTTTGTTCATACGCTTCTTGGCAAATACAGTTTCCTCCTACTTTGATAAAAAAAAAAAAAAAATCCTGGCTGGTGGCCTTGACTTTTAGACGGTGGGAATACATACACAGGAAATCTGTGAAGAAAAAGATTTGACTCAATGGAAGAATTTTCTCGGGCCATTTTTCCAAGTGTGACACTTGTAAAAAATTTTATTTAAATACTTGCCGGATAACGTTTTACCCCCCCTTCTTCTTTTTGTGGAGGCAGGCTGTCGAGGTGGCAAGAGAAGTAGGAGGCCCAGGCTGACCACAGCAGTGTCCTGCAGAGGCAGAGCCCCTCTCAGAACTGGCCTCAGTGAGGATGCCTCACTGTGATCCCTGAAAAGTCAACAAAGGGCTGGTCCACAGCTGGGCCACGAGAGAACAGAGAGCAGGCACGTAGCAACAACCTCCTGCTGGTAGCAGCTGAGGAGTCGAAGGACTCACAGCCTGCTCGGGAATCTACAGCATTTGCATGCAATGTGAGCCAACAACAATAAGGAAGCGTCCCCTAACACACCTCGCTCCATCGGAGAGGGGTTTGCTCATTTTAGAGCTTACGTTAATCTAAGCACACCTGATGCTAAACCCTGGGAAGCACTTTATATTAATTTTCTCATAATAAGAAATAAATCAAAGCAATCTCTACCACACAAATTTCACCCGAGCTACGCAGCGACTGCACAATGGGAGCACCTCAAATTTAATTTTCAGAGAAGATTAAGTTGCCTTCTGCATCACTGAAACTTTCTATGGGTGGGGGGGTTAAAGCTAAATTCTCAGTGGTTATGCTTCTCTTTGTCCAAAGCATTGGTTTGAACAAAGGTGCAGTGAAGCATCCGCGGCAAAGAATCTAATAAGCACAATGTGGGAATAAAGCAGAGGGGAGTGAGCATCAAAGGCAGCCAAGCACAGCATGACTGGCATCAGTCTGAACTCCCAGCCTAGGACACTCAGCATGCTCTTCAGCAATCACCCCCTATGGACCAGTCCTGAGCAGTAATTAAAACCTTCATTCCCACTGCCTCGGTATCTCATTAGCCACAGGACCTTGGGCTTTCATCCCTACTTGTCCAAAAATATCACAACTTCACACCAGCAAAGACAAGGTCTTTCAACCAAAACCACATTTATAAAGTTGGACAGAATTGTAGGAGCTCATGCATACCTATCTATTCATGCCGACTGTAATCATTAGATCACCCATCTGAGAAAACATGTCACCCAAGTGTTGTTTTGTTGTCTACCTAAATGAATGTGCATCATCTTTGGTTTGCTATAAGTACCCTTTTTTATCGTGTCCGAAATACCTTTATTTTTGAGGTGCAAATATCAACCAAAGTTTGCAAGTAAAGCATATAAGAGTTAGGGCAAACTGATTCACTTGAAGCTTCGACGCACTCCATCAAAGCCCAGATTTGAAGTGGGCGTGTGTTGCTTGCAATGGTCAGATTTAACACTTTGGCTGTAGATAAAAAGAAGCTCTTTTTTTCCATGTTTAATGCAGTTTGAGCCATGACTAACTTGTGTAATGAATGTGGCATGTGAAGCAAATCACTTGTTTTGTGTTCGGGGAAACAAAAATGAATGTTTGCGATTGTGATGATGGTGTACAGGCTCAGGCACACAAGTCAGGGAATTACACTGCGATGGTTCTTTTTCCTATTAAAACAGCTCTTTTGTACAGCAGCAATGCAGACACCCAAACCTTAATCCACTGCATGTTATTAACCTACTTGGGATCCTGCAAGGCTCATTTAGTGCAAAGGAGCTTTTAGAAAATACAAAACGTCAGCACTGTGTTTCTGTCAAGTAAACAGTGGTCATTTGGTCTTTCAAGTGCCATTACTAATCATATGAATGTTGAATGTGTAGTCTCAGTGACTACTTCTGCAGTTACAGCAGTAGCGTTCACTAAATTGTTATATAAAGAATTTCCAAAGTATCCCCTGACTGTTCATTAAAGAGTTGCTAAATAGTTTCAAGATGCCCCACCCAAACACACAAGGCAGGATCAGTGAGTTCCCAAAGAGTGCTGTTACATAGCTCACGCAAATATGCCAACCACTCCCCCCTTGGTAGACAAGTGCATGAGTGTGTGCGTTTGAAAAGGAATCTTCCTATTCTTTATCTATGAGAAGCCTCTGATCTTTCAGTCCAACTAAGACACGGGCCTGATGAGGATGAGCTCCCCACCGTCGTCTGAATCAGTCTTCCCTTTTAATAACAACAGAGCATTGTTTATGCGGGCGTTTGCTCAACGAGGCCTCAGTGTCACAGTTAGCATTGAAGACCAGGTCCCCGTTTCCTCCTCGCCACTATTTTGAGTCAGTCCAAATTAAAACCCAACCAGATTCTGGTTCTCAGCCAAACACAGCTAAATGACTCTCTCCCGCTCCGTTTCTTTGAGAAGCCTTTGATGTTAGCAGGGGGC